ATAACTGTTAGATTGCACATTATATTTCGTTTACATATAAATTTTTTTTAATTAAAAATAATATAAAATTTCAAATAGAAAAAATAAATCCTAATTATGTTTTCTATAATAAATAATATAAGTTAAATCAATCAATTTAGTTATTTATATTAACTGACAAATTAAGCCGATTATGTCGATAATTTGAAAAACTAAATGTGTTTTTTAGATATAAACAATAATTTATTTTGGTTATTATGTTTAATTCGGTTAACGGGTAAACCAATTATCTCAGTTCAGTATTAATTTATTTGCGACAAAAAAATCGGTTGATTCAATTTTCTACAAGTTCGACATGATTATTTCAATTTTGATATTTTATTTTTTTTAATTTCTAAACCAACATATGATCAATATATTGCATTTTGTTACTTGAAATTTTAATTTGCACATGCAAACACGCTATTATGCATTTTATTTGTCATTATTATGCATTTAGTCTTCTCGTTGTCACAAATCTTATAAGGAAATTGACACCTTACAAAACTCTTCCGAAACAACTAAAAATATGAAAAATAATAAAAGAAGAAAATGCACCTACGGGCTACAATAGCCATCATCTGGAGATAATAGGACAAAAGAACGACATGAATGAGTAAAATACTTAAATAATTTCCTTTCTCGATCTTCCTAAAAAAAATAATTTACAAATCTATATCTATATATATATATAAAAAGGTTGTTGTTAAAATACCTTTTTAGAAACTTTTGACCAAAAAAAAAACTTTGACAATCTAAATATAGAAACCATATTTACTGCATTTATAAAAATTTTAAAAAAGTCATATTTCAATTCAAAAATTTGTTTATTAGAGATATTATTGGGATTGTGGATAAGTCACAATTGGATCCATAATTATCATTACATGATTAATTCAAAAATTAATTGGTTAGAGATATTATAGGGATATGTGGATAAGCCACAATTGGATCCATAATTATCATTACATAATTATGCGAATATTGAGTTAAAAAAACCGAGATAAATTTTACAGAGAAAAAAAAAGATAAATTTCAGAACACATTGATAATAAATGCCGCCAGTCTGGGATACACTCGATTCCGTTAGTAGGAGAAACAAGCCTTTTTTGCACTTGAAAGCAGTCCTAATAGTTGAAACGCATCACCAACGGGAGAGTTGGAACGCATTCCATATACTGTTTCATGATGAACAGGTAAATATTTATATTTGTAATATCAAATTTATGTAATTTTAAAAAATATTTTAATTCATATTTATAAATTTATACTGTAGGGTACATTCATTAAAGGGATAATACGTTCCAAACATATGGAAGCATTTCGAGGTGTACTGAACGAAGGCGAGGTGCATGCGATCAGCAACTATGTCGTTGAATTTAATAATGGGAAGAAGGATATCATAACCAACATATGGAAACTTGTGCTTCATGGAAGAACTCATGTTATCAAATATGGTGGGATTTTCCCTCAAAATGTTGATATTTTCCCTCAACATTAGCAAGGAGCAAGAGATATTTATGATATTTAGAGTTTGATTATTATGAATTTTAATCTCATTCCATGTTGTTGAATTCCGAATTCTATAATAAATTTTAGTGTTATTATATTTGTTATCGTTATAAAATGTCGCATGAATGTGAAAATTTGAACATTTTATTTTTGAGTTCTACTGTATATTAATTTAAAATTGGTAGAATGCCATGATACAAGATATAAATTAATACAAATTTTAACAAATATTTCAAATATAAGATTATATAAAAAATTACAGAATTAACAATAACTGAATTAAGTACATTTAATAGATTATATTGCGTGATTTTTCAATAATTTATCATAATGAATTATATTCATAAATATGAATATGAATTTTGATTATAATATTTATATTAATTTGTGTTATATATAAATTATTATTATTAAAATTTTTACGTAAAAAGATGGAAAGATTTGTTTGACTTAAAATATTATAATATTTGTTTGACGTAAAAAAATTTTCAACAATTTTTTTTTGTATCACATTGGTATGGACAAAAATTTAATTGAAAGATGTTAATTATGTAACGGTGCTATCACACAAAAATCTCCACTTCTTAACTACTTTGCACTTATCTTATCACCATACATGATAAGGTTGAAAATTACAATTTGATTTCAAAATTGTTTTAGGTTTTTATTGACCGAGTATCACTCTTTGAATTCCATTTGAATTCAAAATTGGTGTATTTTTTATTTTAACTAAAAAATTTATGGAATTAACAATAACTAAATCAAGTACATTTAATGGATTATATTGCGTGATTTTTCAATAATTTATCATAATGAATGATATTCATAAATATGTATTTGATTATAATATTTATTTTAATTTGTGTTATATAAATTATTATTATTAAAATCTTGACGTAAAAAGATGGAAAGATTTGTTTGAATTAAAATTTTGACGTACAAAATTTTTGACGTAATTATATTATTTGTTTGATGTAAAAAAATTTCCAAGAATTTTTTTTTATTACGTTGGTATGGACCGAAATTTAATGGAAAGATTGATGGTGATGGTAATTATGTAATGATGCTATCACACAAAAATCTCCAATTCTTAACTACTTTCCACTTATCTTATCATCATAAAAGTTTCGGTCCATACCAACGTGATAATCATTTGTGTTTGGATTGACTGAAATATATTCCATTTGAATTCAATGTCATTCATTTAAAAAACAGAACAAATGCAGAGTACTACGGTGGATAAATCTAGAGTTAACAATCTGATAAATCACATTTTACTAATCTTATCATGATATTAGAGTTTGAATTTATTGGAACTCTGAAATTAAAATCACGTGCAATGAATCTTATCAAGGGAGATTAACGTGATCTGACTAATCTTATCATCTAATGGTTATCTACTTTCATCCCATGGCTATAAAATAAACGTCGAAGCCTATATCGTGTATCACAAAAATCTCACACTACAATTTCACATACAAACAGAAAAATGGCGAGAGCATAGGGAAACATCAAGCAAGTAACAAAGATCAACAGGCCAATGCTCAAGTTGAGGGTGGTTCGAGTTTTCCAAAGGACTAATCAATACTCATCCTACAAGAACATCCTTGAAATTGTCTTTCATGACATTGAGGTTTAATTCATAACAAAAAAATAATTATTATCCATTTTTCTCATCATGTTAATTATAATATCTAATATCTAATATTACTTCTTTTTTTTTTTTTTCAGGGAGGTCGAATTACTGGAATAGTAAAGCAATCAACATCCCAACTTTCATCAATGAATTCGAAGAAGGTGCTGTCTATGCATTTCGAAACTATCAAGTCGAGAGTAATATCGGAATGTATAGGTCCACCATTGATAATTCGTGCTTCTCTAATAATATGGGATGAAGCACCAACAATGCACAAGCATTGTTTTGAAGCTGTACAGACATCGCTGTAGGGTAATATGGGAGCAATTGATCCCTTGAACTTGAACAAACCGTTTGGTGGGAAGCCGATTGTTTTTGGTGGAGATTTTCGAAAAATCCTTCCAGTCATTCTAAAGGGTAGCCGTCAGGACATAGTCAATGCTGCCATTAATTCTTCTGACATATGGAGAAGTTGTACTGTGCTTAGGCTTACGAAAAAATGCGCCTTCAGGGACTTGCTAACTCGGATGAATGTGATGAGCTTGCACGGTTTGCAGATTGGATAGCCAACATCAGAGATGGAACTATCAGAGGGTTGAATGATGGATGTGCACCTATAGACATACCCGAGGACATTTTGCTTAAGCCATCTGATGATCCTATTGCTCAGATAGTTGAAAGCACATGTCCAATGTATAAAGAGGCACCCGACGATCCAAGTTATTTGAAGGATAGGGCTATATTAGCGCCTACGTTGGATGTGGTCGAGTCTATCAATCAGTAAATGACATCATTGAATTTGTTGGATGGTCGTATGTACTTGAGCTCTGAAAGTACGTGCAAATCGAATTCTAATAATGATTTTTTGTCTGATCTCCATACGCCTGAGTTTTTGAATAGTATCAAGTGTTCCGGAATACCGAACCATGAGTTGTATTTGAAGATTGGAACTCCAGTCATGTTGTTGCGGAACATAGATCATTCTATGGGTTTTTCTAATGGGACACGATTGGTAGTGACAAAGCTATCGACTCACGTTCTTGAGTGTAAGATACTCACATGAGATCATGCTGGTGATAAGGTGTTGATTCCAAGAATGTCCATAACTCCTTCTGATGTTAGAATTCCTTTCAAGTTCCAGCGGCGACAGTTTCCCATTATGGTTTCTTACGCCATGACTATAAACAAGAGCCAGGGACAATCCTTATCTCATGTTGGCTTATTTCTTAAGAAACCAGTGTTCAGTCATGGCCAGTTATATGTTGTTGTTTCCCGTGTCACTAAACGAAAAGGTTTGAAAATCTTAATTTTTAGCGAAGGTGACGTGCCAAAGAATCAAACCAATAATGTTGTATATAGAGAAGTGTTCAATAATATATGATTTTTTCAATTTAATGATATGTTTATATGTCTATTATTATGATCATGATCATTGCCTGCATAACACAATTTATATACAAAATTGTTTTTTAAAAACATTCTAGATAATAATATCCTCGTGCATCGCACGGGTGACTACTAGTTTATATAATCAAAATTAAAAACATAGATTAAATTTTTAAAAATTGCTCAAAGACCCCTATACCTTGTATAATTTACAAAAACCAAACCCCCCCAAAAAAAAACCATTTCCGCTGCCAAATCACAATTGCCGGAATCACCGTCAAGCCGCCTCCTCCCGCCGCCAGCCTTGTCAGCACAACACTATCCACAACGACAATAACCAGCAGCCGCCAATCACAACCCGCTGACGCGACCACTAAGCCCCAAATCACAACCCCTAAAAAATCCACCAATCCTCACCACAAAATGCCCCCCCCCGTCGGAGTCCTTATCAGTCCACCCCCACCGCCACCAGCCCTTCCAGAACCAAGTCACCGTCGACGCGACTAACAAGCCCCAAATCACGACCCCTACAAAATCCCCCAATCCTTACCACTGCCACATTCCCGCCCGCCGGAGTCCCCATCAGTCCACCCACACCGCCGCCAGCCCTTCCCAGAACCACATCGTCGTCGCCGAGGACAACAAAAGACAACAGCAGTATCCATCCTCGCCGTGACGACGACAAAAATCAATTCGGTTGATCGCCGACACCTTCTTTATCTTCACCGGACGTCGTCGGACGTATTATTTCCGATCGATACACTGGCGGACGATGACTGACAGAATGGCTCGGCTGAGATCGAGATGCCGACGACCATTATCGGAGAGAGAGAGAGAGAGAGAGAAATTGCAGGTTGGGAGAGAGAGCGAAGAAAAAATGAGTAGGAGAGAAAGAGAGATGCCAGGGTATGTGTAGGTAGCTGTCAATTGTCATATTAGTAATTATGCTTATGCCCTCTGTTTTATATAATTTACCTTAATGTTGCACTGAATTACGAATATGCCATCACTTAATTTCTGTGTGGTCAACAATTCTGACACATCTTGACCATTAATATGTCAGATCTTGTGGTGTATATTTATTCTAATTTCTTTCACTATATTCCTTTCTCATATGATCCATTTTATATATAGGGTCGCACTCCAGTGAGAATGGTACTCAGTGAAAGAAATAAGAATGCATCTTAGTCATCGGATTGGATGATCCAATAGCTAAAAAAAAGCCCAAATTCATACTTTCATCAAGGGTAGGGTAGGAATTTTACACACACCAAACAATGGGACCCACATCATCTCACACGTTTGCAGCTCACACCTAATATCTGTCTCTCTCATTTAATCTTTCTATTTCTCTGTCTCACACACACACACACACACATCTCCTCCCACAAACAGACCACGCCCTAATTGCAATTCACGAACGGAAGCTCCGCCCACCGCAACCGCCGCTCAGTCGGTCTCCGCCACCGCCTCCCCGATACCTCCGATTGCCGCTCTCGTTTCTAGCTCCCTCTCCCACCTCCTGCCGCCCCCCTCCACATCTCACCGTCGACCTTAATAGCTCCAGGTTATCAGCCACAGCAACGGCGGCACACTATACAAGACCTAACAGCCGTCGTAGCTCCGCTGTAACCATCCTCTGCCGCACCGACTCCTCCAACGTCGTTGTGAGCAGAGGAACCGTCTCTTCACGGGTAGCAGATGACCAGACATCATAGAATCGGGAGCAGAGTCACCGTCTTCGGGTTCAGTCAGCAGCGGCCAATGGGAATCGACCAGCGACAAGGGCCGATCCGGAGACTGCAGGCACATGCTTCGACCTCATCCGAGGAGGGGGTGCAAGATGTAGACACGCCGACACACCTCAACGAATCGCCAAAATTAAGGTTCCGATTGAGGTACTTCGCCGGCCCGAACGATCGCAGATGCCAGATTTATGGAAAATGATGTGCAGACGGAAGTTGGATTTGAATTTGGGTTGGGGGCTTTATTCTTTTTTTTTTTCCGAAACGATAGAATCAACTATTATAAAAGCGAGCAAAGCTCGAAAACAGTATCCAGAAACATTAACAACAACATGAGAGGAACATCTGAAAGATGCCCTAGAGCCTCAGAAATACAATCACAATAAAGAACAAACACCAAAAGGAACAGGAGATGACCACTGCCTCAAAGCCTAGCCAACTACGAGCCCTTACAAACAAAACAAACCAAGCATAAAAAACCAAACTAAGAACAACCCGACTAAGAACAATCTACAGAAGATAAAAAAGAGAACTCCATCCAGTCCGAGTGAGCTGCCTTGAATGTAATGTGAGGAGGGGGAATTGAATGTTGAAAAATCCACTGGTTTCTGGTTTTCCAGAGCCACCATAACAAATATGTTGTCAGTTCAATTCGGTGTTCACCTATTTCAGAGTGTTTGATCAAACAAATCTGCTGCCACCATGTTCTGAAGGAATCAGTGTAAGATGATAGGCCTTGCCAGGTGATTGGGGCATGCTGCCATACCTTCTTTGCTCTAGAGCAGTTCAGCAAAACATGCTCCAAGGTTTCAGGACCATCTCCACATATTTTGCAGATCACATCAATGTCCAAACCTTTCCTCCTGAGATTAGTCAGAACAGGCAGAGATTCATTGAGGCATTTCCATATGAATATTTTCAGCTTCATCTGTACCTTGAGTGACCAGGTCCTCTTCAGTGCCTTTTGCCATGGCTTGGAACTATCACTGCTTTCAGGAGTGTCAAGGAGCAGCACTTTTTGTTGCACTAGGTGGGAGTAAGTTGATGCCACTGAGAAGTTGCCTTTTTTTTCCAGTCCCCAATAAATCCTGTCCTCCTTATCTGGCTTAAGAGTAGTAATGCTCAGAATTGCAGCACTGTCATCATGGTTATAAACCTGTTGCACTAGCCAATCATTCCAGCCTATACCAGAAGAATGCATTAGATCTTTAACAAAAATGAGGCAATTTCTGGCTAAGTCAAGCATCACAGGTTTATGTCTAAGATTCGGGATCCAATTGTAATCCTCAATTCTGGTATTAGCACCATTTCTAATCTCCACTTTCAGCCATTGAGAAAATAAAGGAAGGGCTTCAAGCCAACAGTTCCAAAGCCAAGAACCTTTCTGAGTTTTTGCAGCATGAAATATGGAAGAGTTAGGAAAATACCTCTCTTTCAGAACCTTACTCACCAGCAAATCAGGTTGAGAAGTAATTCTCCACAGCTGTTTGCAAATTAGAGCTGTATTGAACAATTTGATGTCAATGAACCCCATCCCTCCATTCTGCTTGGGAACTGTGACTTTTGACCAGCTTTTCCAGTGAACCCCCTTATTCTCAGTTGAGCTGTTTTTCCACCAGAATTGGGCACATAAGCTTGACAGAGCTGAGCTAATAGCAACCGGCAACTTAAAGCAGGACATAGTGAAAATTGGCAGTGCCTGCAAAACAGATTGAAGCATAACAGCCTTGCCAGCAGAAGATAGAAGTTTGGATTTCCAGCCTTGGAGTTTATTCTGAGTGGATTCAATCAAATATGCAAAAGTATCCTTTTTAGATTTGCCAATGCCCAGGGGCAAACCCAAATACTTTGTAGATCTATGAGACTGAATACCATGTAAGGTTGAGCAAATATTCTCCCTGAGAGTGGATGGTGTATTTCTACTGAAAAAAATGCCAGATTTTTGCATGTTAACTGTTTGACCAGTAAAGAGTTTATATCTGTTCATAATGTCCAGCAACACACAAGCTTGGTCACTTCCAGCCTTACAGAAAAACAGGGAATCATCAGCAAATAAAAGATGGGAGATTTGAGGCCCTGATTGGGAAAGTTTCAGCCCATGAAGAAGTCCAGAGTCAATAGCATTCTGAACCAAAGCTGAGAGGAGTTCAGCCACAATAATAAAGAGATAAGGGGATAGTGGATCCCCTTGTCTTATGCCTCTAGAAGGTTTAACAAAGCCACTAATAGCACCATTAACTTTGAAGGCAATGGAAGTAGAAGAGATGCAAGCCATAATCAGTTTAACAAAATCAAAATGAAAGCCCATCTTAATCATGATCTTTTTGATGCTCATCCATTCAATTCTGTCAAAGGCTTTCATTAAATCAAACTTGAGTGCCATAAAATAGTGTTTCCCAGAAGCATGTCTATTGAGAAAATGAAATGCCTCTTGAGCTATAATGACATTATCAAGTAACTGCCGGCCTTGAATGAAAGCAGATTGATATCCACTGATGCAGCCATCTAAGCAGGTTCTCAATCTTTGAGCCAAAATCTTTGAAATCACTTTGTATACCACAGTACAAAGACTAATAGGCCTAAACTTGCCAACAGTGTCAGGAGAATTGCATTTAGGAATCAGAGAAAGTATGGTATGATTCCAGTATTGAAGCATATGCCCAGAATGAAAGAAACTCATCACAGCAGCAACAAATTCAGTTTTGATAAGAGACCAAAAATGCTGATAAAATAAAGCATTCATACCATCCTCTCCGGGAGCCTTATCAGGGTGGAGGCTGAATAATGCAGTTTTAATCTCATTCTCCTCAACTGGATTTAACAGAGCTTGATTCATCTCTGCTGAAATGGAAGGGCTAACCAGCTGCAGTAAGGAATCTCCTCCCCAAGACCCTTCGGAACTGAATAGAGACCTGTAAAAGTCCTGGATATGTTCCTGTATCTCCTCCTGAGTTGTGAGTTCCTCCCCTCTGTCATTGAGCAGTCTAGTTATGGCATTCATCCTCCTCCTTTGCATTGTGTAAGCATGGAAAAATTTAGAGTTGGAGTCACCATGCCTTAGCCATTGCAGCTTGGATTTCTGCTGCCAATATAGGGCCTCTTCTTGATGAGCTTTGTTGAGGTCTCTTCTGGTATTGTTCCAGTCTTCCCATCTATGTTCTGTGTTATCCTCTCTCAATCCTTCCAGCTTTAGAGTAAGTGCTTTGATTTGCAGCTGATTCTGAGTATGGAATTGAGAGCTCCACTTCAAGAGGGCAACTCTAGTGTTCCTGACTTTCTCCTTAAGTTGGAAGAAAGGAGTCCCTGAAGTTGGACTGAGCCAAGCCTGTGAGACCACATCAGACAATCCTGCCTTCCCAATCCATCTTCTTTCAAAGTGAAATCTTCTTGATTTTCTTCCACTTGGAAGCCCTGGATCCACTAGAATAATTGAATGGTCAGAGGAGCAAGAAACTAAATTCAATGTTTTTGCATTAGGAAAAGCTTGCATCCACATCAAAGAACCAAAAGCCCGGTCAAGTTTTTCTTCAACCACATGTTGGGGACTCCTGTTGTTACACCAGGTATACTGATAGCCTACCATCTTAATTTCTTCCATCTCCATGTTGTTAATGAATGAGTTGAAGCCCCTATAGCTGGAGATTGGCCTTGTGAGTCCTCCAATCTTGTCTGAGCTAGAACATAGGTCATTCCAGTCACCTGCCATGAACCATTGGTCTCCCCATTTACTCTTTTCAGCTTCCAAAGCTTCCCATTGAGATACTCTATTTGTTCTGATGGGACTAAGATAGACAAAGATCCCCCATTGGGGTTCACTGGGAGGAATATGAAAATGAACAGCAATAAAAAAGTCATAATTTACAATTTGAAGAATATTTACATCAGAATTCCAAAGAAGTAATAAGCCACCACTAAGACCTAAAGGGTCAACCACAGAAAATCTATCATCAAAACCTAATTTATGAACAACAGTCTTAACAAAAGCTTTGGGTTTTTTTGTTTCAGAAATAAAGACAAAAACCGGGTGGTGAGATCTCAGAATCCCTCTGATTTGGGAAACTGTAGAGGGCCCACCCAGCCCTCTACAGTTCCACACCGCAGCTAGCATTTAGGACTTGGGTGCCAATCAAGGCTGGCCACCCCCACCTCCTTTGGATTTGCTTTGAGCTTTTTAGAATTTGGATCTGTCTGAGTTTGGTTGTCCTGAGCTTCAGCAATTTCAGTGTTGTCAGCATTGTTCCTACTCCTCTTTCCTTGGAATGGGACTTCAGAGTTTGTTTCTTGCCTATGAAGTCTGCCCTCCTTCTTGTCAGCTCTTTTCCATGTCTTCAATATGCCTTTGCCTTTGTCAGCTTTGAGTGGAGAGGTATCTTGTGTGAAAGGAATCAGTCTTGTTTCAATGTCCATGAGATTAACAGGCTCCTCAGTTTGGTGGGCAATTTTAGAGATTTCTGAGGTTTTGTGTTGGATTATTGGGGAGTTAGAAGTAGAGCCATTGACTGAAGAAGGAAGAGTGGAATTATGGTTCTCTTGATGGAGAATGATCTGGTTTGTGAGAGGTGTCTGGGTGGTTGCATTTTGATGGTAGCTATGGATGGGAGAATTACTTGGACTGGAATTTGGTCTTTGAGGGCTGAGTGGAGGACTCCTTGATCCAGATGTGTTAGTATTGTTGAAAGCTCCAAACTGGCCTTCAGGAGCTTTAAGCCAATCCCCATACTGACCTTCTCTCACACTGCTGGATTTGATATCTTGTACCTTTGCAAGGCACCCCTTCTCCAGATGACCAATATGCCCGCAATAATGACATAAGTTCCTTAGCCGTTCATATCTGAAGCTTATGGAAATAATCTGATCTCCAAGTCTAACTTTGGTGCATCTGGGAATCGGCTCTGTCAGGTCCAGAGTAACCAGAAGTCTAAGGAATTTTCCTCCATGACTCCCATAATTAGCAATCACCACATTGTCCACTTCAGCAAAAACTCTACCTATCTTAATGCCCACTTCAGTGCAAAGCCAATTCAAAGGAACGTTGCACACTTGTGCCCAAATTCTAAGCTTCTGGAAACAAGAATGCTTGCTGTTCAACCCTTCTATCCATTCAGATAAAATTAGATACTGGTTCTCAAATGTCCAGTTGGTACCTCCTAGCACTTTCTTGAGATCCTCTTTACTCTGGAATATAAACTGAAAATAATTGGGTTCTAATTCTTTTACCTCCATAGGCTGCGATAATCTCCAGATTTGACTCATGGATCGTTTGACTCCGATCCAACTGGCTGGCCTATCTCCAGTGATCTTACCGAAGAGACTGCGACTATACTCTTCAGCACTATATCGAATATCGTCTTGAGCGATGTCAACTAGCAGAGCTTCTCTATCCGATAGGAAGAAGTTTTCCATTCGACAAGACAACTCATCATCGTGGTTGGGACTTGATGTTCTTGCCATTATGGTATGAGCAGCTCGCTGAATAGTTAACCCTAGGAAAATAAACTTCAACTGAAAGGGAAAACGCAACTGGGGAAATAGATTTGAGCTATCTAAGCGACCACAAACAACACAAAATCTAACACTCTATCAAAGATTTCGCTCCCAAACGAGAGAATCCAAAGCTCTCCATCGAGAGAATTATTAAGGAATATTGTCTATAGTGATATCTCGAAAAACATTTGGGGGCTTTATTCTGAAAATTAGATAATTTACATATATCTATTTGTAATTTTAAAAGTTCAATTAAATTTGCAATTTAGGTCATAGGGCTAATCTGAAATTTCTAAAAACTTAATAGTGAACATTATCTAATTTTCATATCTTACTCCATAAATGAACATCATTACTAAACATGATGCAAAATATTGCCAATGATGATGCACATTAAATAATTCTTGTTGTTGGAGAATACACAATAGTATTTTCAACCACACATACTAAAAATGGCAGTATGTGAAAAATCAAAATTTCTCATATGTTTTCACTTTTAAATGTTCATGGTTCGATTTCAACTTTAAATTTTAAAACATACACAATTAAAGTTTTTAAAATTAAAACAAAAATAAAAAATAATCTTTCTACATACTGCACAATAATGTTACACTATGTGCACATTAGTATCTGTGAAATGCACATTATCGTAACATTGTGCGCCACGAACTCGAAAAGAAAAAAATCAAAATTGCATTTTTTTTATATTTGCTTATTTATTATAGATAATAAATTATTTCGATTATTTATATAACATGTTATATTTAAATAAAAAAATAAAAAGCATGAATATATTTTTTATAAAAAATAGTTGCATCTCAAGTGCACATTGGTCGAAACAAACAGACAAAGTTTTGGGTCCGAAATTAATAT